CTACTCAGACATTTAATGCCAACCCCAGACCAGCCTTCACCAAGCATCATGATGAACAAGGCGAGAGAGGGGACGGTGCCACCAGCTGGAGCCGTTAAAAAAGGAGCCTCAGGGGGGTTCCGAGACGAGTTTCAGCGGCACGCCAATCGCTGATCAGGAGGCGCTTACTCCAGCCGAAAGGGAGTGTCATGCATGAGCAAGGGGAGGCGTGTGCCGATAGCTTAAAATGCATTACGACGACTTTGGTGGGTCAATTGAATTTCAGCATTGAGCGAAATCCAGGCCAAGAAACGAAAAAGAGAGCACAGCAAGTGATACCAATGTACTAAAGGCCTTGGACCTGTCATGGAAACGGAATGGTTGAGTTGCTGGACTCTTGGTTTGTGGCTGAGCACTCTTGGGGGTTTCTTGTCATCCAGAGGCATTGGGGTGTTTGTTGACACAAGTGAGATCCGGTATACGAGTGATGCAGCACCAAGGCAACACCAGCCAAAATACGGATAATGAGAACAGAGTTTGAACCTGCATAGAGGGCGAGATGGTTAAATGTTTGTTTGTGTCGATCCTCTTTATAGTGACGAGTAAACATACCTATGGACTCATGACCAACTGATAACCGCCTTGTTTACGGACGTTGCAACAGTTTGTTCTTCACCAAGTGACATGGGACAACACATCCACCGGCAGACTTCACACCACCGGCCCAGTCTAACTACTAGGTTAGTATCTACCTAATAAGTACTCTGTAATGCTTCAGTGATAGGCCGCCCTGGGTTAGTACTCTGTACAGCAGCTACAGTCCATTGATTCGTGTACCTGACTTCCGCCACACAAGTGTAAGCACAACAAGACACAATGTGAGATAGTACAAATGCCCGTAGATGGCAATTCAAATGCACTCGTTTCATCCGACAAGACAGTGTCACAACACTGAGTTGCATACAAGAGCATTGTACTGCGTCGCAATAAAGGCATGCTGAACTTGGCTGTCAACCCATCATCATGCTCTCTTGGCTCTTCGAGATTAGTAGGTGTGCCAGCATGAATTTGTGGAAACTGAAATTACTGGACCGGACGTGCCCCACGCTTAATCCCCAATCCATGGCTTCCCCTTGGATTCGACGGAAGCCCATCCAAGCCTACTCCGTACCAAGGAAGAAATGCCCACAGTGGCCGGCGTTAGACGCTTGGACTGACCACCTCAGTTTCCATTCTTGTTAGCCTGGTACGAGGGCGGGAGTCCAAATGAGAGCGGAAGAGCCTGCATCGTTCGTCCAATGCCTCAATTGGTACCGTAAAACACTCACTCGCTCATTAGGTAGGTAGGTAGTCGGTACTTATCCAGACGCCCCGTCTCCCTTCTCCCTAGGTACCAAGATAATGCCGAGTGCTCCTACAGTACCAACCCAGTTCAGGGATCAATCACTTGCCATCCAATCCAGTATCCCTTGATACCACCACTATCCAGGTTCTACCCTATCCCGTTGTGTCATTCTGTGGTTGTCGATTCGAGTTGGTCCCGACCTGTTGTGCCACACCCTCCACAGGTGGTGGAGGGCATCCATCCCGTCCCGTCTTCCCACCTCCAGTGCCTACTATTTTAAAACCCCATTCCAACCTCCGTATCACGCTCTCTTCTCCTCTCTTCTTTTCCCTCCCTCCATTGATTTTTTAATTCCTTCAACTACCCTTCCAACCGGTTAACGCCTTTCTGTCGTTTTCTCTCCGGTCGTGATCTTCTCTCTTCTTTCGTTCCCGCTTCCCAACTCCCTCGTTGTTGGTTTTCTTCTACTTGGACTGTAATTCTGCTTCCTCACCCGATCCACTCATTTTGATCATTTTCCACTCTCAATATCGTCTCTTAACGATAATTCTTGAACCGTATTAATCCGCCGCCATACCGTTCGAACAACCAACTTAAAAATGAAGACCGTTGCTTTCCTATCCGCTTTGGCGGCTGTCGCTTCGGCCACCCCTACCCTCAAGGAGCCTCCCAGCAAGCGCGCTTCCCTCCCCGCCGTCTCGGTTTCTGGCAATGGTTAGTAGTCAATTGCCTCAAGAGTTGGACGTGCAGTCAGTGTTGACAATCAATTAGCTTTCTGGACTGATAAGGACCGATTCTACCTCCGAGGTATCGACTACCAGCCCGGTGGTGCCTCAGCTAACGAGGATCCTCTCGCCGATCCCGATGTTTGCAAGCGTGATATCAAGTACTTCAAGGAGCTCGGCGTCAACGTTATTCGCGTCTATGCTGTCGACAACAAGGCCGATCATGACGAGTGCATGAGTGCGCTCGACGCCGCTGGCATCTACCTCGTTCTCGATGTCAACAACCCCAAGTACTCCATCAACCGTGCCAAGCCCGGTCCTTCTTACAATGCCGCCTACATTCAGAGCGTTTTCGCCACCGTCGAGATGTTCGCCAAGTACGACAACACACTCGCTTTCTTCTCCGGAAATGAGGTCATGAATGACGAGAAGGATACCGACAAGTCCGCTCCCTACGTCAAGGCCATCACTCGTGATATGCGAAACTACCTCAAGGCCCGCAAGCTCCGTCAGGTCCCTGTCGGCTACTCTGCTGCCGATGTTGCCTCCAATCGCATGCAAACCGCTCACTATATGAACTGTGGCTCTGAGGAGGTTCGATCTGACTTCTTCGCTTTCAACGATTACTCCTGGTGCAACAGCGACTTCAAGACCTCTGGCTGGGACGTCAAGGTCAAGAACTTCACCAACTACGGTATCCCCATTTTGTGAGTCAATTCACCACCCCTGTTGGCCTCTCCTAACCTCTCACCAGCCTGTCCGAGTACGGTTGCATTGAGAACCGCCCTCGTAAGTTCGAGGAGCTTGAGCCCATGATGGACAGCCAGATGTCCTCTGTCTACTCCGGTGGCCTTATGTATGAGTACTCCCTCGAGGACAACGACTACGGTATCGTCACAATCAAGAACGGCAAGGTCACAACCGAAAAGGAGTTCGATCTCTTCAAGTCTGCTCTCTCTAAGTACCCCATGCCCACTGGCACTGGCGGCGCTGCCAAGACCTCCCATGGCGTTGCTTGCCCTACCTCCGAGTCCGTCTGGCAGGTCGACCCCAGCTACCTCCCTGAGATGCCCTCCGAGGCTGAGAAGTACATGAAGGACGGTGCCGGCAAGGGCCCTGGCATCAACGGCAAGGGATCCCACTTCGACACTGATAGCGGTACCGCCACTGCCAGCGTTGCCATGGGCTCTTCCACATCCACAGGTTCGGCCTCTGCCTCTGGTGATGATGATGATGACAGCGGCGCTGCTAGCCTTGGCTTCGGTGCCCTGTACGTCTCCGCTGCCGCCACCCTCTTCACCCTCGTCGGAACCCTTTTGCTGTAGATGGCAGGCGTGCCGTCTCTTTATTTGTTTTCCTTGTTAGTGTGGGGATTGCCTTGTGGTCAGAGTTATGATTTAGGCCCCCCTCTTGGTTTTCATGATAGACACAAGATGTAGGGGAAGAGCGCTTGATTACTCGATTGGGCGCGCTGCGCTGGGCACGCCGGGTTCGTATTTTTTCAACAGGAGCATTGGCGTCTAGCCCAGGCAGGGCGGACGACCTGGAAATGATTATAATGCTATCTGGGCGGTTACCGCCTTTGTCGTTTCAGTTAAAAGGATTTAGTGCCGAAGCACGTTCAATAGACTTTCATTAAACCGATATGAATATCCGCTGCCTCAATGATGTACACGTTACGGAGTATACTAACAACGGTTAATCGTGGCGCACGTGAGTTGGACTTAGCCGTAGAGCCTGGGCTAGAATTGGTGGGAACCTCGGCATCTCCATCAGTAGCCCACCTCTGACATGGGCTGTGTCGCAGCCAAGAAAGATCAAGCTTCCCCATGGGACACAGTTTAGCCCGAGATTCTTTCATCCCTTATAAGTACTCTGACAATACCATTCATACTCTTCCCTCTTCAACGTATTCGCAATTGAGTTAGAAGCCACACAATGTCTTCCACCACACCTCTTCCCGCTTACACATCTTACAAAAACATAGTTGTCAGCTCACCAAACCCTTTCGTCGCTCATGTCGAGATAAACCGACCCCAAAAGCTCAACGCCTTTACTCAGGAACTATGGCTTGAGTTTGGGCGTGTCTTCAAGCAGCTCAGCGTTGATGAAGATGTTCGTGCTGTTGTAGTCAGCGGCGCTGGCGAACGAGCCTTTACGGCAGGCTTGGACGTGCAGTCTGCATCTAATGATGGAATCCTCTCTGGTTCTCAGGCGGATATCGCCAAAAAGGCAAAGGTAGTGAGAAACCACATTGAGGAATTCCAGGACTCGATTGGCGCTATGGAGAAATGCGAGAAACGTAAGTGTCACTCGTCCAACGATTCGTTAAAGATGGATCACTTATGTATGGGATTAAATTTACAGCTGTCATTTGCGTGCTTCATGGTGTTTCTATTGGCCTTGCTATTGATATCGCCTGCTGCGCTGACATCCGCATCTGCGCCTCCAACACACGCTTCGCCGTCAAGGAAGTTGACATTGGCATGGCCGCTGATATCGGAACCCTGGCACGTCTGCCCAAGCTCGTTGGCTCAACATCATGGGTTAAGGACGTTTGTCTCACGGCCCGAGACTTCTCAGCACAGGAAGCATTATCAGTAGGATTTGTGAGCCAGGTTCACGAGGGTAAACAGGCGGCTGTGCAGGCTGCTGTGGCTCTGGCAACCACACTTGCCGACAAGAGCCCTGTTGCTGTACAGGGAACGAAGGAGCTGCTCAACCACGGCAGGGATCATACTGTTGCTGAGAGCTTGAGATATACGCAAGTATGGAATGCAGCGGCTGTGCAAGGCAAGGACTTTTCGTTGGCGTTGATGAGTGGATTGAAGAAGACGAAGCCGAGATTTGAGAAGTTGTAGTTTAGGTGTTCGAAAGGACCATAATAGCATGTCGTTTGGGTATGAAATTGTGTACATATTTCAGTGATTGCATATGTTCGAAGCTTACTCTTACTCGGAACCGGACTCTTCTTCAGGAGGAAGATTTTCTTTGAGTCGCTGGGAATTTGTCAATTAAAAAAAGCCCATTTTCAGTCGCAAGTAGCTTGGGTAAAGATGATGCTAGCGATTGAACGTACTTCTTCGAGCTTATGCTTGAGCGTTGAGACCATGGTCTCTTTCACAACCACGCGTTCATCATCGAGATCTTCAATGATGTAGTCATGGTTAGCACTGTCGATGCTGACGATGATGGACTTGATCGAAGGATCGCATTCGATAAGAACGCCTAGCATAGGTAAGCTCGGATACTCAGTGACCAGGAAATAGTGTGAGACGAACCTCTGATTGCACGAGGCATCTTGGGCCAGTTCGCGGAAGCGCAACAACAGGTCCAGAAAATGCTCCAAGGATTATAATGAAGTTTAAGTTCAGGTTATGGTTGACGCTTCCCCCATAAAAAGGGTGGAGTATGTATAATGGCACGGGAGCCTTGCATGACGCACGGACCATCTGCCATTTATCTAACGTGCATGGAATCATCAGATGCCATTCCAAATAATGTTTATTCGCCCTTCGGCTGTGCAACGGCAAAGCCCGTAATTATACTGTGCCTGGTTTTGCAGAGCTGTTTTATTGGGAAGCTGAACTAAATCGTGTGGCAAATTGGACCCGGGCACCAATTGTTTGTTGCCTCGTCGCCCTCGTGCTAAGCTGGGCATGTAGTGAACATGACTGTTGCAGCGTATTACTCAGTCCCTGTAAGTGGCATTGCTCGTTCTCAATACGCCACTAGTCCAAGGCATAGTTGAAAAGCTGTAGTCTAAGGGCTCGACTTTTCATACCAAGTTCTCTCGTTTACCTGTCGGTATTCTTCAATCTGTTATCTCCGACTGGGCTGTGTCCAGCGTAGATATCAGGGCCAGAACAGGTGACGGGCGGCCAATTTATCCCGGCTCCATCGGCGGACGGCGACATTCAACGGCGGTCCTTACATACATCCAGATCTAAGCTGCTGTACTAAGCCACAATGATGAAGTCACCTTGACAGTGGGGGATGATCGGCTACGCGGCTCTGTAATGGAGGCATACGAATGTAAAAGGTTAAGGTAGAAGCCAAGGGTGCACAAGTACAAAGAGTTGCCCTCCCCCCAGGGTTGGAGTCGCGAGTTGGAGTTACTAGATGACGCCACTCTATCAAAGTCTCTGACCTCACACCTTGACAATCTATCATTTTGATGATACTTGATTCTTAACGTCTCACAAACCAAGTAAAAGAAGCCCCTTACACACATATCCATTGAGAATCGATCACATATAGATCTTGCCTGAGATATCCGATAACCATACCAATATCCTCTGATCGAGTACCTTACTTGTACGCTCTAACGATACATCTACTATTGTGATGGCAACAAACGACAATAACGACGACAATACTGGCTTCTCGTTTGGTGCACAACCCTTCGCCTGGGTTCTCATTCCTCTCTTTGTCATCTTAGTTCTCGGTCTAACCGCCACCATCATCCAAGTGAGACGACGTCGCCGCCGCCGTGGGAACCAATGGCCCGGTCAGAATACCGGAGCTCCTGTATATACTGGCCTTCGCGGTGGAAGAAGAACGGGAAATCGCCGATCGCCATGGAATGGAACCAGGTCTGAAGAAGGGCTCAATGAACTGGGACAGGCACCACCGCCATACGATGGTAAAAAGGAGACACAGGATCCCCTGGAACTGCGGGATCTCGAAGCTGGGAACAGGCCGCCCGAGTATCCTGCTGAGCCTGCGCCGGCTGCAGTGACGGATGGTCGAAGAAGTTGATTGTTGAATTTTGGCTATTGAATGTTGAATCTCCCCCCCATTTGTTCGTTCTTGGACCGTTTTATACCTACCCTTTTGCCTGGAGGTAGAGAGGGATGAGCCGGGAGGTTGCGTCTTCGGGGGAATGAATGAAGGTCAAAATGAGATTACGTGTCGATTGATATTACCATAGCAATGAACAATTCTTTGTTTCGTCTCATGACATAAAGTCCAGCTGAGTTTGCTGATATCCGTTCCGATCCAGCTTGACCGATTAGCGAGACCACTCTGTGCATTAATTGTCGTACAAAGGAAAGATGTCCGGGAGACTCAAGTGAAAGTGGAAAAGCTGAGTTGAACAATGGACCGACACTCCCTCCCTCCCTCTGCACAGACAAGCTTTATCGTCTTGGCTTCTATAGTAAATCAGACCTTGAGGTTGCCTGGATACTGATATACGAATCGCTAACCAGATGAATTCAAAGAAACCGAGTGGAAGGACTAAGAATACATGGTTGCAGATTATATAACAAAGTCATCCTCTTACAAGCCACCGGAAGCAGAGTGCTATACGGGTCGTCTTTGTGTGGCATGAGTGGCCTCAGAAGACCCGGTTGGCTGCATGCATCGAGGACGGTGTCACAAGTGATGCGGCGATCAGCTTCCACAAGAGTTAATAGCATCGATAGGACAAAGAGGTCTTTCATTGTGGTCTTGCCATGCTGGAAGCAGCATGTCGTGGTGACCAACTAACCTTAGCACATGGATCGCAGCAATAGCTACAGTAGGTAGTCGGGGACTACAATAATAGACTGCAAGCGCTCTGGGCCAATGCTAATTTTACCGAGCCATGAAAGGGCCACCTTTTCCACTGGGCTTTTGTTGACAGTTTGCTTTGGCTCGCTGCTAAATCAAGGAGTAACCAAGGCTTCTCGAAAGCCTTTGAAGACTCTGTGAGTTTTGGCGGAAAAGCCTGAAAAAGTCTTGTAGCCGAGAGCATTTGTTGCACGTCAAACGATGTGGAAAAGTGAAAGTTGTCCTGGATCCAAATTTCAGGGATATCCCATGCCTTGTCGATGTGTCTCGCATGAGTGAAAGGGCCTTTGCTCGGGGGTCCACAGAGAGTTTGCGGGATCTTATGATTTACATCATGCTTGGTACAGCCTAGTTCGCCTCATCTTGACAAGTGTATGTTTGCGGTGAAATATGACAGACAGCTCAGGATAAGCCGATACCATGTTGGGAGGTAAAGAGGTGGTTGGAGAGCATATAAGGGGCGCCGATTAAGCAAATGGAGCTGTGGTTTCTTAGTGTGATGATGATGGAGGAGGCTGGAGATACCAATAAGCTGAACATGAGCGGCGAAAGCGAATATTCTGACTCGGGTTACGCCCCGAGAAGATGGAAAGCCAGATGCGAGTAAGATTGAGCCGAGGCAAAGATGATTTTCAGGAACATGTCAGATCTATCCGTATTAGGTGGTGGTGTTGAGGTCAAGGACTCTAGATTCGACCAAGAAGCTTCTAAAGCACTATTATGTTTGGAACCTGTGGTTTATCTGAAACCTGGGTAACGGTATGTCTCTGTGAACAAGGCGCCGTAATTAGGCTATTCCTTGGGAATGAGTGTGTTTCATAATAGTTTGAAGACAAGTCCGACCTTCATAGTGAGTGATTCAGCCCTACAATCCACTCACAACAAGAGCGAAATGATGGCCTATGGATCCGAGTGGAGGAGGTCTGACTGGGACTCTGGTGATCTTTTTGATAATATTGCTCAGCTAATATCGCGTATCTTGAACTCTTTACGAAGCGACTTGGGCAACTTGTGAAGTTGCGAGAAGCGCTGACGGGGTCAACAAATGCAGCCTCATCACAGGCCTCGCCCTCATGGTCTGACTTATTTTAGTAATATAAATGAGGCTCACTCGAATGATTATTTTCCGTCTTTAGGGACACAGCCGCCCAGCCGCACCTTTCCCATCCTGGCCCGAGACGGCTGAAGTCTGAAGATTAATTAATAGGCGGACAGGGGTTTAAGTGATTGACGAGGGTGATCAAGTGAGAAGAGAGGCTGGGGAAGAGGATTGTTTGGGAGTGCGACGATTGCCGGGACCTGATTCGAAGGGAAAACAGAAGGTGAATCGTTTTACGACAGGGGGTTTGTCGTAGCAGAGGTGAAAGCCCAACGTTTGTCTGTTCGTGGTTTGATACTGGAGCAGAGCATGTATCTAGGCAAGGAGGCTGGTTCTGCGTGGCAACTGGCAACGCAACAACTTGGAGACCGCTAGTTGAAATATCCTGTTTTGATATAGACGGAGGATGCTTATTCGATACTAAAGAGGAGTGGAGGGGATGAGGATGGTCATCACATCACACACAACAAATCACGTATCACACACATGGAGCGTTACGATGAACTCGCCGGGCCTCGCTACTGTACATGTCTGCTCTGCATGTTTCCTGCACGTTTTGGTGCATATCTCGTTCCCCTCGTGTCCTTGGAAGATCGTCCATTGGCAGAGGAACCACAGGCATAGCGTGTCGAGCTAGGTGGCATCCCGGCGGGCCGGCGCTATTGGACAGCCCGCCTCGGCAGAGTGCCAGAGACAACTCATCACCCCAAGGCACTAGCCTGAAAATGAAAATCTCAAGGGCCCAGCCGCTGAACCAGGTGGGTCCAACACCTACATCAGTATCTAGCGTAGGGTGTGATGACCAGAGCCCGAGGACAAGGCAATCCAATATATGTTGTCAAACGAAGTCGATTTGGTGTTGTTTAGAGCAATACACAGAGGAGATTGCATTGGATCTTTGATTGGAGAGATCCATACTCCGTACGGAGCTCAGTGCTACTCACAATCGACAATCCAATACGGAGTATCCGTACCTAAAGCATCATAAGCTTCTTGGTTCCACTTATGCTGACTCTATTAAGTGTGTATGTGCCTACCTAAACTTTTCCCATCAAGATCTTCTTCAATACACAACAAAGTCATATGTACCCCGTACGTCAACGATGATTTTAGACTTCGCTCATTGAAGCTTTAAACTTCACCGCGTGCAGTGAGTTTACCAACTACTCCATAGGTACTCTGTATCCCATCAATATTGAAGGAAAAAAACGGCCTGCCCGTCCTGCATCAACTCAATCCGTTTTCCCCAACCTCCAGATCTTTCGCCCAACCTCCTCGATTCCCCTCGACACAACTGCACCTAAATTGAAAGCCCTGCTCCTTGCCCCCCAAACCAGTCTAGATCATACCTTGTACCCCTTCTTGATTTTCTGTTTCGGCTCTCTTCCGCTCCGTCTGACACTGACATCTGCGGTTTTCAGTTCTCTGTTCCTTGTTAATTGCCAGGTCTGGTTGCTGCGGGCAACTTTGCTAGCCCATTCTTTTTTCTTAGCCCCCCCGAGGCCCCAGGCGTCCCCCCGCCGAGCTGCCTGACCTTACCTTACGGGATCCACATCCCATGAGCCTTCACACCATCCTTTACAATCGACCACGCCGCACGTCGCATCCTTAACCCTTCCCCCAAATCTTTCTCCTTCTCGAATTC